TGCTGCCCCCGGAGCAGGTGCCTGTCTGGCTCCAGTTCAGAAGCCAGTGATACCTCCAGTCCCTTAACTGTGAGGCTTAAGTTGCACATTGACCTCCATGTTTCCCTAAGGTCCTTTAAAATTAAAGTTTTTGTCTGTTCCCATGTCTTTCGAGATGTGGGGGGAAACAGATTGAGCAAATAATTAAAATTGCAAATAAACCTTCATTGTAATTTTGCTTTCAGTTCCTTGTTGAATTATGAAAAAAAACAAAATCCCCTTAAAGCTAAAAGTTTCCATAATTGGTTTCAGTCCTTAAGCAATTCAAACTCCCAAGCTACAACAGCTGCCATTTTTAGTAATTGTTTTACTATGTTTTTTCTATTTTAAAAGCGTTGAGGTAAGAGCTCAATGGTGGTGGGTGGGGGTTGGGGAGTGGGCCGAGGGGAAGGGCTAAAGCTATGAATATAAGTCTATTTATGGAATGCTACAAAGTTTGAAAACTTAAAATCGAATGCTATCTAAATTACTTTTAACTATAGATCTGAGAATCTATCATTGACAATGTCTGTGGGTTAAATTGTATTGTTCCTAATAAAATACAACATAGGATTCCTAATTTATATCTGGAATTGGACAAGTTAAAGAAACTAGATTCTTGCTCTTTAGTCTATTTTTTTCTTTTAGAAGTCTTTCAAATTAAATGGATAAATGTAACAGAATGATCATAATATACATATAAATGGTTAGCAATTCTAATATAAAATATAGCAACAGATTACTTTTACTGACAAGAAAGCCAATCTATATTTCCTGACCCACTTTTTCAATTCCTAACTTTAGAATGTCATTCTGTTTTACAAAGTTAATTGAATGCCCCATGATCACATACATACTTCTAACAGTTAAGCAGTGAGAAAGAAAACTGTTTAAAGGGATATTTCAGCATATCTTTTAAGTACTATTTAAGATTACTTAAAGTTCTTAAAGTACCAGCTTACTTTAAATATAGATATACAAAGTACTTGATATATTACACATTTGATTGAGAATGAAACATATCTGAACAACTTGTAAAAATGTTTCCATGAGAGATTATTTGGAAGACTTTGCCTCTTTTGTAAAAAGCTAATCATGTGTAACTTCGAAATCATCTTTGCCTTCAATCCTTCTATGTATGAAAATGAGACTCAAAAAGACATCAGTATAAAGCCAGTTTTAAAATTCTGTTATTTTTCTCTTTAAAAATGTGCTTTGGCAATTCAGAAAATCCTGTTATTATGGGAATATATATATATACACATGCCTAAAATAAACTTTGTTAATTTTAACATACATGTATTTTTTCCTCTGTTCCTAGCTGAATTTAAAAAATTAAAGCTTTATATGTGGTAATTAGATATTAACATCCACATTTTAAAACTGCTGTTGAGGTGAATCAAACTGAAATATGTGTGTGTATACATATTCCTCCATCAAGTGAAACACATATTAAATAACGATATGTGCCAGACACTGCTAATATCAGAATGTGCCTGTCTTCTAGGACATGATATCTAGTGGGAAATAGACATGTAAATAAAGTATTCATTCAACAAGCTTATACTGCAGCATGCCCTGTTTTAAGGGCTATAATTTCTCTAAGAACTGTAAGTGCTTTGGGAGCAAAGACTTAGGGTAACCTATGTGAAGAGGTGAGACTATCTAAAACATAACTTAAATAACAAAAGGCTTCTTGTTTATAAGAAAAATTAGCTGAGTTTAATTATCTAGATATGAAATCTCCTTCCCTCCTCTCCCAAAGAATTGAAACATAGTGTTAGTATTTAAATAGGCATTCACTTGGCAATTGCTTGTAATTGTTCAAGTTATGAGAACACAATCTAAAAGTTTGCCAACACCTCATCTAAAATTACTGAAATAACTCCAATATTTACATACTTGATTTAAATACAAAGGCACTACATAACCTATATATAACCAAGTGTTGGACTCAAAATATTATCTATAATGAGGAAAGCAAACATATGACATCTTAAATATTGCATTGACCCTCTTTGGAGAAAAACGTCAGGATTTTACATTTAGGTCTGAGCAGACCATCCAATTGTGCCATCAAGTTTGTCAACAGAGCAGGAGATACTCGGACACTTCCATCCAGGAAGGGACAATCACCATTTCTATGCTTTGTGTTTGAGTCTTATTTCCAATTCTTTGTTTTTCAAGCCTTTTTAACTCTACATTTTAAACTTTAAAGTCTTTACGGTTTTTTTTAGCGTTAAGGCCAATAAAATGTTAACATGACAGTGATTTAGTTGGCCCCAAAGTTCTAAAGGTACACCCGTATATGGCTTCCTTTTCCACTGATTCAGTGGATGCAGAGATTGAAAGCATCTTTTCCACTCCAAAAGTCAACAGTCGTCAGAAGGATTCCACACACGATTAATTTCACCTTCAAAGGCACCATTTAACATAAAGTGATTGATACTAAAAACTGATGCTTCTAAGGTAGAAGTCTGAAATACAGCATGACATTTTCTAAGGCAATGGGACACTGATAAAAATTAAATTATCGCTACTTGGATTGTGTGTGTGTGTTGAATATCTTCTTTCTAAAGACTTACATGGGTGTTCCTTAAAAATTGTACCCAAACCCCCTGTCACCGGACACAAACCTCTTAAGCGCCCGGCCACTGAAGCCCGTCAGCCACTCCCTCTCAACACCGCCCTGACCCGCCACCCTGAGACTCCTGGCTTTGTTGGACTCGTCTCGGAGATGGTGGGTGCTACTCCCTCCCCACCTTCTTATGAGTACAGGACACACAAGAGACAAAGATGGGAGGTGCCACAGGAAACTTTCCACCCCTAGAGCCCACCACGCCCGCATCCGGGCCACGACGGGGAGGACGAGGCCCGCACAGGTGCGAGTCCTGCCACCCCCGAGCGGAAGGTTCCAGGCCGACGCCGCAAAGCTGGACACAGGAGGGTCCCCGCGTGTCGTGGGCTGGCCGTGGCAGACAACTGCATTCAGTGTTCACGGGGGTGCTGGGGCCCGAGAGGAAGGGAAAGACGTCGTCCTCCCGGGACGTCCACAGCTTTGCCTTCATCCCAAAGTTTCCAGAACCCCAAAGAGCGCCTCCGCGCTCTCCTCGCAGTTTCTAGCGGGAGTGGGGTGCCGGGTACAAGTTGGGCCTGGGCTCAGGCTGCGATTTGGTCGGAACCCCACGAGGCCCCCGCCACGAGTCGCCGGGCTAGGCCGAAAAGAGGGCGCGGGGGAGGCAGGGCCCGGGGCGCAGGAGGGACGGAGGGCGGGCCGGGGGCGCGGCGGGCGCGGGCCCGAGGTGCGAGCGAGCGAGCGGGGCAAGTCCCTCTCCGGCTACCTCGCAGCCCCCACGGGCCACGGGTCTGAGACCCGGAGCGAAGGGGCCGCGGGTCCCGCAGCGCCCGTGTCTGCCGGGGTGGGGGCGGGGGCGAGGTAAAGAAGGCCTCTGCCCTTTCGCTTTGGTTCCGCGGCCAGGCCGCCTGCAGGAGCCTCACCCCGCGCGGGCCGCCGCGGAGAGGTCCTGGCCGCGGTGCTGCTGACCCACAGGGGCGCGCCTGGAGCGGGCGGAGACCGGGACCCGGGAGCTGGGGCCCCGAAGCGCTGGCGCAGCCAGAAAATCTCGCCACGGTCGCCTCCCCACTCCTCCGGGGACTTATGAAATGAGTGCTCTGTGGAGAGACAAGGAATTGGGGGGTGGGAGGGAGGGGCTCTAGACGCCCTTTGCCCGGAGTGGGGTGTGGGAACCCTGCACCACCTTACATCAGCCAGCTCCCTACACCCAGCCGCACAGGCCGGAGCCCAGAGGCTGGGTGAGGAGCCAAACGCTGCTTTAAAAAAAAAAAAAAAAGCTGCACCTCATTGCGCATGTGCGAGTTTCATTTTTTTACGTCATTTCGCTTTCTCAAGTCCCAAGCCGAAACTTCTTGCTTATTGATTACTCTGAAGAATAATCGACTGTATGCTCCGACTCCCAGAAAATATTGCAAAAGTACAGAGAGAGGGTTGTCAAGGTTTCTGCTTCCACAAAAATAGCATAGGCTGTTTATCCATTCTGCGTGTCCCACAGAGATTATCAGAGCGGAGAGTGAGTTCTGCTAACGTGTAGACTACATTGCAAGACGCAATACCACAGACTCTCCTTCTTTAAGANGAGAGAGAGAGAGAGAAGGAACCACCATTATCGTCTCTCTTTATGTTAATAGATAAGAAGCAAATCACACACACACTCCTCCTCTCTCTATAGAGTCTGCCTGAGTTCGGATTGAAGGGTAAAATGTGAACACCAGAAGGATTTGTCAAAGCAAGGTCTTTACCTACTTTGAATCTCTTGGAAAATATTCAAGCATATCATTGCTCTTTCACTACTGCAAAAATGAGAAATAATGTGGCAACTGCTCTGGAATTCCTTTGGTGTGAAGAAGTCGAAGGTGATCAAAGGCAGGGTGACATGCAACGGCACCCGGATAAAATAGGTCTGATTAGGGTAGATTCCCATTCACGTAAAATGACTTCCAGGCAATTCGTTTAGCTTTGACTTTCAACTGACACTTTTCTGGTTGCGATAAAGATGGAAATAGGGACGTGGGCCCCCTCTCACACCAATGCGGAAGCTGAACCCTCTCGGTCTCACCCCTGAAGTCCCGCTAAAGAGACTGAATGCTTCTACTGCCCTCGCAGAAGATTGGAGGAATTTAGGGACGCCGTCTCCAAAGCTCAGCAGACAGGGGAGCGGGGATAGAGGCAGGAGCCGGGGTAAGGAGAGCGTTGAGGGGCGTCGGTAGCACCGGGGACGCGGGGCTAGGAGGGAGAGGCAAGGAGACACTGGGCGGTGAGGAGGCAGGGGTCCGCGTGAGGGGCGAGGCAGGGCCGAGGACCTGGGGCGACTAGGACTCGAGGCGCAGAGCGAGGCCAAGGCACCAGGGGACACCGTGCCGGGTGTGAGAGTGGAGGCGGGCTCGGGGGGGGGGGGAGGGCTCACCCGCGTTCTGCAGGGTCTCGATGTTTTGGGGTCTGGTCGCCAGCTCTGCCACCATCTGCACGAACTGGGTCCGGGCTTTCTGGTACTGCTCGAACACCGCAGGGACACACGGTGGAGCGGGCGGCACCGCGGTACCCGGCTCCCGCCGCCAGCCGTCGGGGCGCCCGCCGCCAGCTCTGCCACCATCTGCACGAACTGGGTCCGGGCTTTCTGGTACTGCTCGAACACCGCAGGGACACACGGTGGAGCGGGCGGCACCGCGGNGAAGGCCTCTGCCCTTTCGCTTTGGTTCCGCGGCCAGGCCGCCTGCAGGAGCCTCACCCCGCGCGGGCCGCCGCGGAGAGGTCCTGGCCGCGGTGCTGCTGACCCACAGGGGCGCGCCTGGAGCGGGCGGAGACCGGGACCCGGGAGCTGGGGCCCCGAAGCGCTGGCGCAGCCAGAAAATCTCGCCACGGTCGACTCCCCACTCCTCCCGGGACTTATGAAATGAGCGCTCTGTGGAGAGGCAAGGAATTGGGGGGTGGGAGGGAGGGGCTCTAGACGCCCTTTGCCCGGAGTGGGGTGTGGGAACCCTGCACCACCTTACATCAGCCAGCTCCCTACACCCAGCCGCACAGGCCGGAGCCCAGAGGCTGGGTGAGGAGCCAAACGCTGATTAAAAAAAAAAGCTGCACCTCACTGCGCATGTGCGAGTTTCATTTTTTTACGTCATTTCGCTTTCTCAAGTCCCAAGCCGAAACTCCTTGCTTATTGATTACTCTGAAGAATAATCGACTGTATGCTCTGACTCTTAGAAAATATTGCAAAAGTACAGAGAGAGGGTTGTCAAGGTTTCTGCTTCCACAAAAATAGCATAGGCTGTTTATCCATTCTGCGTGTCCCACAGAGATTATCAGAGCGGAGAGTGAGTTCTGCTAACGTGTAGACTACATTGCAAGACGCAATACCACAGACTCTCCTTCTTTAAGAGGAGATACTTGCACGACAGTTTGCAACTCCTGTTATCTCATTTTTTTGATATTTCAGAGGAAACACCTGACTGAAGACTGCTAAAGCTGGATTACTTTAATTTGCCTCCTACTCCAGCGTTAACCCATATGTATTTTTTAAAGTGGAAAATAAAGTTTCTTTATATGAAAGAATAAAGATTTTCGTCATATGAAAAACATAAGAAAAGATTAATGACCACCTATTAGAAGAACATACTAATACTTTTCCCCATTAGTAAGACAGGAAATGAATTATAAAGAAAGGCTTTTTGTTTTAGGAGTGCTTTTTTTCCTAGTGAAATAATACCTAATCGCTTATTTTAATTATAACTCAAGGGTAAAGGTATTGGAAATTTACAAATAAACACTTGGAAGTATACAAATAATGCCAGTATGTTTATGATCAAATCCTAAAGAAAAGCAAACTTACAGATTCTTGGTTTAAAGAGTGCCTTGCAAATACTAAGTACACCAAATAGAGACAGTGAAGATAGAGACACCTTGTAGCACAGTGAGATAAAAAAAAACCCTGATTTTTAAAAAATGTGATGCTTAAACATAATGCTCTAGATGCATGGCAAATATTTAAGAGTGATACAAATAACTGGTATCAATTATCTTTCTGGGAAAGGGTATTCCCAGAACCCATTGCAGACCATGATAGTATAATAGACTTGTGCTGCACTTGAGTCTCTCTCTAAGTTTAGAGAGCCTACATGAATTGTGTATATTAAAGTTGATGAAAATGCATTTTCTTAAGTCTTTTTTTAAGTTGCTGATATCATTCTATTGTAAGTTTTACTTTTTTGTAATTAATTTTCTTAAAAGTGTTCTCAAAAGGAACAACAATTTTAATAGATGAATATCTTGAGCAGAATGATCACTTGATAAAATTGAGTGGGGTCCATTGGATCTCATTACCTCATTCTCTTTAGAAAATGAGGGGATAGTTTGAAGAGAACCCAAGTGAAAATATTTTAAGAAAATTGTCATGAGACATATTTAGAAAGAAACAGCTGGTAAACACATTTTCCCAAGCTTACTCTGAGTTCTTCAGTTACATTAGAAAACAAACTAATGAACCATGTTCAAAGCAAAAACACTCTCCTGAGTTAATTACTGATAAGATTAATTTTCTGATTCATGAACAGCTAGATGCTTTCTAAACATTACTCTCTTCCCAGTACAATTTATACTTCAGTGTTTTAGAAGTGTGTTTATTGAACTTAGGAGTTTTGTTGAGGAAGTTGGAAAGGAGTCAAAAGTTGCATGGTAAGATTCTATAGAAATGTAACCAATTCCAATAAAAAAGTCCTCTGTATGGAAGTACATTATGGAAATGACGTGGTTGTCAGACCTAATTGCTTGGCTTTTGAGTCCTCACAGAAGAAATTCTACAGCCTTAGGGGTGTAGACTCAAAAGCAGCAGCATTTCTGGTTTCAGTTTAAATAAAACAATGAAATCCATCATTATTCAAGTCAATAGCGATAATTCACATGAATATGAATGCACTTTGATCTCATCCTTCAATTCATTGAAAGACACAGTGGTAATGAAAAAGGAAGATAATCTCTTTAACTTGGTCCAAAGCAAGTTGTTGGAGCTTTTCTTTCTTGAAAGACCATAGAAAGGAACTTTTCACTAAAGCCTTGCTTTCCTATTTTTAAGGTGGTGGTGGGGGTGTTTGGGCAAGCTACAGGTCATTATGTTGCCTCCAGGAACCAAGTTGTGCTAACTTCTTTGAAGTAAACTGTCTTATTTAATGAACTTGACATTTTTGTGAAGCTTTAAGGTGAACCCCTTTTATAACATCATACCTAAGAGTCATTTTAGCAGGCATGTTGATTTGCGTTTACCATCAGATATGATTAAGACATATTAACTACTCTCAGTATATTTTAAAGTTTATTTCAATTAAATAGGATATTTCAAGATGCATCATCTTAATAGATTTGCAATATTCAATACTAGCACCTTAAGTGTTCCCCTTGAACTGTATAGGTAGTTAATGCCATGTTGTGGTCTATAAAAGTATGAAAGTCACATTAAAATCTCATCTTATGGCTATTAACCAGTTTTCAGACACTTTTGGTGGGAAAATAGCAAAGTTACAAATTGTTTTATACAACTTACCATTTTTAGAATTCTGGGAACATCTGTCAGATCTTCTTTAGTACAATCTACCACATTTGAAATATAATGAGGTAAAAATAAGCATGAACAAGGATATCTGATTATTACCACTAGCCTAGAAATATTTACCTTTCCATTGAGTTCATTAAAGATACCCAAGCTCTATAGTAGTAAGTTTTTCTTTTCTAAGTATGGTTGTTGAACTTTTAGAATCCTCTGGAAATTCAACAAATATTTGTTGAGTTATGTTGAAAGGACTCCAGAGCATACAAAGATAAATAAAACAGGTGCTTGTCCTCAAGGAGCTTTAAACTTAGAAATTTCAGCACATCTGTGTCTTACATGAAATTTGTATCCATGAAGAACATCCAACTAACAATAACTACTTAAAGCCAGGACAATTATTAAGAGCAAAGAAATTTGGCAGTACACATATTTCCGGAGTTATCCTACTCGCTAAATAAAAGACTTTGCTGTGTACCCTGAAGATTTCTCTTAAATAAAAACCTGTTTAAAACACTAACAAGAGTTCTCTTAAAAATTAAATCAGTGTCCTAGAACCACAAAGAATAGAAAAGGCAAAGAGATTCGTAAGGGTTAACGTCAATCATTTTCTTTGTGTGTCAAACCACTCAGTCCGCACTGCCAAGGGGTGATGTGGTTCATCAAATGAAATGAAGGAGTGTGTGTGGGGGGGAGTGCTCCATACACTTCTGTATAAAAAGAACAAGTATCTGGATGCAATGTTTGAGCTAACACGAATGGCTATATTATGGATTTTGTGCAAAATATTCGTGGTAGACAAAGAAGAGAGACGATAGCGTTTGCCTAACCCAGAGGAAAGCCACCATTACCAACAGCAGACACAAACCACAAGCTCTTCTTTGTGTGGATGTTACCAAAAAGGGAGTGGGCGTCTGGTCTTGACTTCTTTCTTTACCACCATCCTTATTTCTAATGCCAAGAAAAGCTTTCTAATGGACTAGCCATTGACAAAGAATTTCGGCTCAAGGTGGAGACGAGGGCACCTGGGGCTGGGACTAAGCAAAGGTCCCCTATCTCGGGGGCTCAGGTGCCTGATCAGTGCGGCGCGCGCAGCCGAGTGCGCTCCCAGCTCCCCTATTGTCTGCGTGGGGGCAGGGCCAAGCCGGGTAGCTGGCTTTTGAGCATAGCTAAGGGTCCGGTCCTGGAAGATGAGCACCCAGGGCGGGGGCGAGAGATGTCAGCAAGGGCCACCCTCAGAGTTGTAAATGCTGCACCCGGTACCGGCGGCGGCGGCGGCGGCGGCGGCCCGGGCTGCAAATCGCCGTCGTGTGGTTGCTACTAGCAACCGAGCCTCCGCGGAGCGCGCAGCCCCGCAGCCCCTGGAAGGAAGGTGGTGAGGGGAAGCGGCTGAGGCGCCGTGGCCGCGCGGGCCCAGCTGCCCGCGGGGCTCTCGCTCACGCCCGCACCCTGCGGTCCCTTCCAGCCTCGACCGCAGCTGCGCCGCACGAAGGGCCAAAGGGCTCTGGGTTTGGGAGTGTCGCTACCTCGGGAGCGCCCAGTGACTGACGCCCTCCGTGAATGCAATATGGCAGCTGGGGTTCGAAGACTGGGTTCACTCGGCGTCCGCGGAGGAGGCGAGGGCCGTGGACCCCGCAGAGCGCCCTCCGGCTCCTTTCCAGACCCAGAGTCCGCCCTGCTCGCCCTCACCCGCGACTCGGAGCCGGGCAGCCGCTTGCGCGAACCCGCCTCACCTTCACCCCTCAGCCCTTTGTTCTGCACTCGGTAGGCACCTCACGCCTCCGGGGGCTTTTAATGGATACCCTCGAAGACTCGGCGATCGGGGTGGGACACCGGGCAGTGCACAGAGGTGTCTAGCTTTCCCGGTCTCAGGAGGGCTCCGGGCAAAGCCGGGAGCGCGAGTGCGGGCGCCCCACCCGCCGCTCCCGGAGGAGCCGCCTCTCGTCGGGGGGCGTTCTGCCCGCCAGGCCCAGCTCGCGGTTTCCCCGCCTCCCAGCTGAGAGGTGTGAGGCGGGAGACGCGGGCCGGCGAAGAGACAATGCCCATCGCGACCCCAAGGAAATGGGGTTCTCCTCCCTGAGGAGAGGAAACCCGCGGGCTCGGAATCTCCCCAGTCTCGGAGAAACGAGGAGGAAAAGACCCCGTGAGGTCTGTGCGGGGCTGGAACGCGCGAGGCCGGTGTCGGCCCGAGGAAAGGTCCCCCCGCCGGGGTCAAAGGGAGCACCGAGCCGCGGAGCCTTCCCCTGGGAGCGGGGGAGGGATTCACCGTTGGGGGTGGGGGGGAACCTCCGGGGAAATTTGCATTTTTGAAAACCGCGGTTTAAAAACGATCATGCCACGTAGACAAGCCAGTTGTGACGTTCAGCACAACGTGCTAGTGAAATACCGAAATCCGCCACCAAATGGCGGCTCCTGCAGTCGGCTGCACTGATAAAGAGGACTTGCCCGGCGTCGCCCATTTTAGGCCGTTTTCACTTCTCTGCCGTTACCCCGACCCTCCTCCCCAAGTCGCTCCTCCCTCTCCCGGTTTGTGGGTGCACGTGGGACTCCTGGGTCAGAGAGATGTTTAGACCCTGGGGATCAGGTAAGCGCGGGCTCTGCAGGAAGCCAGCTGTGTCCCCGCGGCTTGAGGAAGCGACACCCCAACCTTGGACTGCCCGTTCCTCTGCCCCGCCAGGGTCGTGAGGGCGCCGGGGCTGGTGAGCGTGCCGGACCTCCCAGGTTCGCTCTGCCCTGAGACCCATTTAAGGCGTTGCCTTTGGGTCCTGTCGCGCGGTCACCCACTTCTGGGCACTGTCACCAGGTCAGGTTTTCTCCGCAGGGGAATTAGAGCCTGTTCTACCCATCCAACAAGCTCAACTGGAGGACCTTCTTCCGTGGCTCTTCCCAGTCACTGCCCACGAAGCGCAGCCTTTGGGAACCCTCAACAGGGCGGTTTTATATTTTGGGTTTTTTTAGTTTACAATCTATCCACCAAACACCCCAACCCCAACACTTCGTTATCGAAGGAGAAAGGGCATAGGATTTAAAGCAGGAAGAGGGCAGAGCGAGGCGATGACATGGCATGGCCCATCAGGAACGAGCTTCTCCGGGCTTTGCAGGTGAAGCCGCGGTCGGCCCGGCGGCGGGTCCGCTTCCTGTAGGCGCTGAGCACGCGGCCCAGGGGCTGCTCGCCCCGCCTCGGCGGCAGGGCGGACCCGCTGCTGTCGCACCCGGCGAAGACGCCTTCGGCCCGAGGAGGGCCACCTTATGAGGCCACGCGCACCCCGCTGTTGCCGCCGGTCGCGACGGGCTCCAACTTTGGAGAAACGATTTCGTTTCCCCGCCAGACAAGCCTCGCAAGGCCTGAGAATCTTGCTTTCAAATTTGGCGGGAGGCGAATCCACCGAGCCGAGCGCCGCGCGAGGCGAGCGGCGCAGGCGCAAAATGGCCTCCCGGTGCCCGATCGCCGGGGCTCGCGCTGGGCCAGGCCGAGCCCCCCGCGGCGTGCGGGATCCCGGAGGTCTGAGCTGTGGCTCTTTGCACTCCTTGGAGAGCTACTAGTTAAAACTAAGGACCGGGAGAAGGGCGCTTTCCTCCTAAAGTGTCCTTTTTGGAAGCCTAACGCTTTCTGGGAAGGAAGGTCACTTTCTCCAGGCGGGCATCCTGTGCCCTTTCCAGCAGGCACCGGAACATAAAAAGCCTTTTTATTTTGAAAGCCGTTGGTCTTTCCATCCTGGTTACCTTCGCCCCTGGCTTTATCTTCCAAGCCGCGCAATGCGCACCTGTCTTGGCGTTGTTTGTCTTTAACTCTTGGGGGTATTGAGACTGAATACTAGTCCTTGGGCAGACTTCTTTATTTCCAGTGACCTCCTTTCCCATCGCTGTAATGTTTTCATTCCTTCCATCTCAATTTTCGACGCGTTTCTCGAGTACTCTGGTCCTAAGCCTTACAAGTCCTCTCAACTTGGGTTCTAGCTAAGTTAGGAGGACAGAGCGTTGGCGAGTGCCGAATCGGTACTTAGAAATTACGTTCTCTGTGAAGTTTGGATATTGTGATGACATCTAACAATCAGAGCAAGAAGTAATATTTCTGTTGAAATGTAGGTGATTCTGAGAGAACACCTGCTATGCGGGGGAAATTCCTTTGATAGTCTCTGGAAGGGATATTTTAAGACGAGTTAAAAGAAGGGGAGTAATTTAACTCGTTCCCTGGAAGTTTTTGAGTGCTTACTATTTGTTTGGAGGGTTAAAAGAGACTTCGGGATGAGTTTTCTACGTGCACTTGAACTTCTTCAGAAAACCCACAAGGATCTTAGAGTAGCCTTTCCAGGGATAAATAACTTGATGCCGACGACTTGATGAAGACAAAAGTTGATAGTCAAGTCTTTATGAGACCTCTAGAAATTGCACACTAAGAAAAAGAAACTGGTGCAAATAAAGGAAATCCGTTTCAAGAACCAAAAGAAGAAAAAAACGTTAAAAAAAATTAACTGCGGAAACAGGAAACACTCGACTGTGTAAACATTTTCGGAGACTTTCATAATCAAAACTGGACGATCTTGAGATTTGCAAAATCTACAGGCTCAAGGTCTTAGCGTGGTATTTCCCAAGTCTGATTTACTGGGAGGCTTCAATAGGCGACTTTCTCTTGTAAAGGGCCCGTCCATATGAATTCTGTAGTACCAGTTTAGTTGAAGGTTTTATCTTGGAGGAGTTAGAAATTTTTTTACAGTGAATCACCTGTTGTACTGTTAATTTTATATTTGAAGAAACATCCTCAAATGAAATGACATTACCTAACCCAAGAGCCTTATTCTGGAACTGCGTTCTGTACTCTTTGCACCATTAAATGTCTTTAAAAGTATATACGTTTTAAAAAAAATGTTCATTTTAAGTGTAATTTCATCAAGATGTTTGGTTTTGGATAAAATATGAGTTAGACTGTATGGGGGAAGCACTAAACTAAATCAGAATTTCCAACTGTCATTCCAGGTGTAATGAAAAGAAAAAGATATATTTATCAAACCTTTAAAATATAAAAATGAAAAAAAATAACATTTCCTTCACCCCAAGATCCTGAGACTAGGTTCCCTGTATAGTTTCTAAAAGTAAAATCCCATCCCCTCAAAAGATTACCTTAAGCTATTTTTTAAAAACCAAACATGTTCATATCTTGTTGGCCAGTGCAAGTAGTATGTCACATGGGTTCCTATTAAATTCCCAATATAATTTCATAACAAAACTTTTATCTTGGTAGGCCTATACGAGTGTAACGGAAGACTTTCACAAATGAACTAAAACTCCAAATACTGGAAAAAGAGAAAGAGGAAAGGATGAAGAAAAGCCCGTACCAGTTTACTCTGCCTGCTGCATACCTCCAGAGACCCCAACATTTGCACATACATGGAAACAAGCAAAATGGTTGGTGGGTTAAGTCAACTGTAGGCAACTTTCTTTTTTTCAACTTAGTCCAATTAACGGCAGGCAATTTTAAAACCACAAAGTACTTGTAAAGTAGTATGCATGTGTAAAGCAAGAGGGATCACTATTTACACAACAGCAACCAGCCTCATTCTTTCTGTATTTAAGTTAAAATCTGTGAAATCAATTTAGGCATTTTCTGTGAAGTATTTTGTTAGCACTAACTTTGTGCTATAGAATTCTAGAATACTTTTCAGAAGCAAAAGCCAAACTTAAGCCAACTTTTCATGTACCCGACTTTTAAGGCTGAGTTACAAAGTTAACAGCTTTGATATGGATTTTTGGTTGGAATTTTTTTAAGTGGTAGTTTAGCTAAACTTTTAAATCTTGTCAGAACTCTGATGGCTGATTCTGGGAGAACGCAAAACATTGTAATCTTTCTTCTGTTTTATTAAGACAAATTTTAGCTGAAATATCCTTTAACGCTTAAGCAATTTTCAAATTGAGTAAGGAAAAACACCCTCTTTCAAATAAAATAAATAGACATGTTTTCAAGTATAAGTGTTAAGCCATAAATGCAAAGGTCCACCATAAAAAGGTTGAGATGTAAAGTCTAAGTTCCATGTTGATCTTACAACTTGGTTTTGTGTTAAGTCAAATGACAGTCCACTAGCATTTGAAGTTTCTAGCCTTTGAAAAATAGTTTTTCATTTTTTATACACATGACCATCCAAAGTGAAAATGCCACTTGAAACTTCCATGAACTCTTTTTTGTCTTAGATAACATCATGAAAACCTTGAGGCCTAGAAAAACGAGTTAAATTCACCAAAATTGGCAAACATGGGGAATTTTTACTTCAAAGATTAGAGAGTAAATAAACAGATACATCTTTCAATTGGGCTTTCAAGCAATTATACAAATCAAATCATGTACTTCTTAGCAACATCACTATTTAAGACAGCAATGGATTGATTCTCTTTAGCTTTTACTTGTTATCCACAATAGGGTTTCTAAAACTTCTGCACATTGTGCTTTTCATATCAAATTTTTATTAAAATCTTAGCTATTTTCTAAATGAATATCCTTTTCACTGGATTTCCCCCCAAGTACAAATGAAATTTAATTTTACATCTATAATTAGAAACAACACTTACAGTGGGGCTGTACAAATTTAGGTCAAAATAAAAATATATGTATTTTGTGGTTTCATAAAACTTCATTTACTGTATTTTTAAAGAAAGCAGAAGTAACAGCAATATATGTAAAAGTAATGATTTAATGACTATAAGCAAGACAAAGCAATAGAATTGTGCTTCTTTTGCAGACTGGGGACAATGAAATGTTTAGCTACAATTTTCCCATACAAACATGAAACAATATTCATATAGAATAAACACCCTCACAAATAACTGATGGGTGAACACACACCAAGTTCGACCAAAGCAAAACACAAACTGAAAGTTGTTGGGGTTATTCGTATTTTAAATTCAACATGCTCACTCTATTTAAAAATTAATACCTATAGAAGCTCATAATAAATTGCTTCTATTTCCAGACATTAGGGAGATGGCATATGCCATTGTTTATAACTGTAAAAGCAAGTCTTAAATTTGAAATTACTGCTATACCACATATTAAAATAATTTTAGATAAAATGCCTTCTTCCAGCAACTTGCTGGTTTACTTAAAAATTTGTTTTAGGATTATAGTGATCAATATGCATTTTAAAAACACATTTATTCATCATAAGCAATGGGAAATGAAGACACTATTTCCAAATTACTTAAAAGTTTTTCTTTACTGCAACAATATATTTTAAAAGTAAACATGTATCACTAGAGAAAGTCAGTATTATGATTTGCCAATTGCTTCCAATGGAAAACGACTTTAGAATTAAATATCCATATTAAAAATATTCTATGCCCATGAGGCTCAAATGTAGGGTATCTGCAAAGGTCGAACCAGCTGGGAGAATTTTAACAACCATTTCTGAATTCATGAAACACAATATTTTCTTTATAGTATTTATAAATATATCATACAATACTGTTTCCTGTTATGTCATATACCAATATGGCATTGTACAACAAGCATAATGCCATCTGATTCTTACAAAAGCGAATCATTTAAACAAGTCAGTAAAATAAACGGTAGTACCCGCTTTTAGACATACAGATTGTAAAACTGAAGTTTACTTTCCTTTGATCGGTTTTGCGTAGCAACAGAGAAGTAAAAATTAAACAGGAATCAAAATGGCTAAATATGCAAGAAATCCTTATTCACAGTGACATGGCTACATAGAATGCATTATTCTATGCATATTCTTTCTGTTTGTTGAATTTCCAGATAAAAAGCACTTGTTTTCTACAGGTTCACAAAACAGCTTAATAACAAGAACAATCAAGGAGAATGTAATGTAGGCGTTAGTTGAGATTAACAAACTATGGCCCAATGTTTATATCCACTGCAGAATATTTTCAAATCCTAACAGCGGTTACAGAAACCATTTCATACCTTTCCTAACATACAGAAAAAAAATCTTGCCTGCCTTTGCAGAAACCAATTCTTTTTAGGAATAATCTTTCTTTTCAATTAACGTCCATATGAATATCACATCTAGTCCATCTTTTATAGCCAAATTTAATGTCACTACAAAAGAAAGCAAATTGGACGACAGTCACATGTATTAGCATCTATAAAGCTGTAATGGCATGAAGATATCTATATAAATCAGGGGTTTAAAATGTTTTTCCTTAACAGTCTCAGGTATCAACCAGATGAAGTTGCTGACGACCCATTTACTGATGATTTTCGAGGTCTATTGGCAAAGGAAGATTGGTGGTTACCGCTGGGGCTACTGCTGGTTCCATTCATAGTACTGGAAATGTGAGGAAACTGAGGATGAGGAGACTGAACTGGTGTGCTGGGGCTAGGCAAACAAGAAGAGGTGGAGGGGATACCTCCTGCTGGGCTGTTGGCTTTGTCACTCCCAGAGTCACTTTCCAGTTCTCCAGTATTTGTCAGTCCATCTCTCTGGTGACTGATCTTCATTCTTTTACAAGTAGGTCGAACTCTGTATTTCAAAGGAAGCGGACCGTTCTACAAAGTTAAAAAGAGGAAAAAAAAAAGTCAGCCTTAATTCTTTAAATACAGTTCACCACAATAATCTGCAAGTATTAGATATGATACTTACCCTTCTCCAGGTATAAATGTAGGCAATATCCATTAGTGTATAGTAATCCTTTAAAGGTTCCTCTTCATACATGACATCAATCTATTGAGAAATAATATTTCAATTATTAAATATCACAAAGAACAAAGGTAAATCTAGATATATTTTGTCATCTAAATATAATCCAAAAATGCTTTTAAAAACATTTTCTCCAAACATTTGGACAAAGAAAGAATCCCTCTTAAAACCTCATATAAGGGGAAATATTTCCTGAAATTATTAAGAGATTTATCTTCATAGCATAAAACAGAATTCATACTAAACATTTTGAGATATTCCAAGGTAAGTGCTAAATTAAATTTTCAAATTTCTGTTGTATTTTGGGTTCAGAATCCAAAGAGAAAAAAGTCACTGAATTAAAAAAAAGATCTACATAATATGCATGAAGACTATAAAGTAAATACCTGGAAAGTATTAGGTATGTCCATTTTACTTCTGAGAAACTTTCTTAGGTGCATCACAGTCATTGCTGCTGGGCATCGTAAATATCTTTTATCATTCACCTACACACATTTAAGAAAGGTAACTTTTTTATTCTTTACCTTCAGATTTAAAAAAGTTTAAATTAGATTGCCTAAATACAGAAAAGGTATCCCCCAAACTGGGATGTGAATAAATTCTCAACTATACTTTAAGTTTACTATTTTTATAAATACTAAATGAACAGATTCCTGATATAATACAAAAAACTTTAAGTATATCAGAGCAATAAACATTAATTACTTAAAATATTTTGTAAAAATAATGATATATAAATTCCATATATTAACTATCAGATATAGGTCACTCTTAAACATCAAACATGACAATTTTCTTCTACCTGACAGCATCATCTGACCCTGGAATATTCCAAAGGGTAACATACACATAAAATCTAAGCTATGTTTCATGTTTTTGTGACATGGAACGTACCTCCTCCTTAGATTTCTCCTTGTCTTTGTTTACTTTCCGATCCAATCTAAGAAACAGATCATTTATTAATGGAACAATGTATCTAATAAACATATAAGCATAAAACACATTTCTTAAAGAATTTACCTGTTCTGATCAAAGAATTCAATGGATAAGCTTATTATTTCATCATCGGTTATAATTCTCTTGTCTTCATCTGCTACTTCTCCTCTATCTTCATTAGAGCCATTGGCAGCTATAAAGACATTTTAAAATTCAATTTTTAAAAATTAAATATTTAATTAAATATTATATACATGTAGGAAAATAAAAGTGGTACTTGAGATGAAATTCAATTTAATAAATTACTAAGTTTCCCTCCAAATAAAATGTCCTCCCCCCTCCAAAGAGTTTACCATCAGCTGAAGGATGAGCTGCATAAAAATCCCTTCTTCTCTTCATTTCATCTAAAGGGGGGGGAAAAAGACTTAAGCATTTGGTATAGTGGATAAAACCTATGAATACTTTTCAAAAATTCATTTTTTAAGCAAGTTACTTACTTTTGAAAAGTCCTGGAACTAATTTGTATACAATATCTTGAAGAGTTTTATCTGACCTGAAAAATAATTAGAAAAGTAAACTATCAATTAATGACAAAAACTAAAAATATCCATAAATTACAGAATCTGTTTTCTTGTTGCTATAAAATTTTGATTGTGACACTGTCTATAACTGTCACTAACAATTATGAAAATAAAAGTTCTTCATGTAGTAGCACTCTTTTAAGTCAGTAGAAAAATATTTACATTCACAAATAAATTCTTTAGCTTTCACTGAGTTAAGTTACAAAATTAGCTAATATGAAAGAGAATAAAGAGAATGGAAGCACTTTAAACACATTCACTCTTGCCTGTCATGAAGTCAACAAAACAATGCAAAAATGGAGAACCAATTCAGTTTTCAAAAGATGGTTTTTAAACACCTTAGAATCACTTGAATAACACTGAACTTTGTTTAAAGTTAGTTATTATTAACATGGCAAGAAATTAAAGGCTACCCACCACAAAGCTCATACATTAGGTAAGGGATTTGAGGGTAAATTTTCTGTAAGAAATAAATAGGGTAGCTTTCACTAAATGATGCAATTCTAATAACAATTTCAAACAATGATTTTAAACATTTTTCTACCTTATATTCAGTAGTGGTCTGGTTTTGTGAACTTGGACATCACAGATAGGACAATACTTGCTGGTCTCCAGGTAACGTACAATACACGTTTTACAGACTAGAAGTAGAAACACATTTTGTATGTTCAGAAATTATACGCTAAACATTAAAATTAGTGGCAGAAAAGGAGAATAGCAAAATGATAAATGCCAAAAGATATTTCCTATTAAACTAAATTAATATCCTGAGAATACTTACACATTGCATACTTGTGTTTTACTAAATGATTAACCTAAAGTCACTAAATGTGTAAGAAGAAAACAATTTCATCACTTTGTACTAGCATTCTTAAGGATTGCAGAATTGTTAGTTTTCCTATTTCGGAATGAAATATGAAACATACATGACACAAAAAGATCTAAAACTTTGTACTTACAGGAATGTAGACATTCTATTATGGTTGTGGCATCAATGAAGTACCCTCCACAAAGCACACACATTAGGTGGGGATTTAGCTCAGTGATCTTGATTCTGGTTGTTCGATGCATTTCTGCTTGAGAAAAGATCCTGCAAAACAGAAATATTGACTATCATTCAAGGAAAAAGAATCAACATTATCTCCAACTCCTAGTAACCATACACTCTTTAATGCTGAGTTCATGAAACTCGTTTCACTGTTAACAGCTAGACTGTCCCAACGTTTTCCACAGTAGAAATTTACTAATCAGACTTGAATCAATTCTACTGAAATGGTGAAAAAAGTTCCAACTAAAGTAACTTGTGGTCCTTCAGGTCATTCCAGCAGGGCGAAGAAAAGGTCTGGGGTGGGGGCTGGGAGCTAAGAGTATTCCTGTCTCTTTCTTCCATTTGTCCTCCAGCTTTACAGCCCCACGGCTGCTGCAGATGCCACAGAATCCCCGCAGATATTTACCAACCGCTAGAGCTTGTTCAGGGTTTCCAATTTTTTTGTAAAACTTTCCTATCGATCTTTAATCGAAAATCCCGGAGCTCGCCCTGGTTTTCCAGGGGTTCCTGTTGTTTTAGGCGCTTCCAGCAACCAGAACCTGGCACGTTTTTACTCAATACAAAGGGAAAACAAATTCTGCTCTATCTGCATCCCTGGCATTTCCGGAGCTGGGTGCTGGGGCCGTAGGAGAAGCACCTCAAGTCGGCCTCGGGTTGGGGCCTGAGAGCACGGACGACCCGGGCCGGGATGCGAGGGGCGGATCCGGCAGCGCCCTGGGCTCCGTCTCGCTCCGGATTCGGAACTCGCCTCTGTCGGGGTTTCCATAGCAACTTACACTTACACTTGGCATCCGGCCACCGCTACAACTCTGCGCAGAGCGGGCCGAGCCCGGAGCTTCGGCGAGTGTGCGGGGCAGCCGGGCGGAGGCAGCAGCAGAGAAGGGCGCGGGGGAGGGACCGGCGCGTCGCGGGGGGCGGGGCCGGCGCGGGGGCGCGGGGGGCCTGGCCCTGGGATCAGTTGGTTTCGGAGCGGAGGAGGGAGTCCGGCCGTGGCGAGCGCCGAGGAGACAAAAGCCGAAACTGGGG